GCACTCCCCGCCTCTTACGGAGATGGAGGCCCGCGGAGGCAGCGGGGACAGTGCGTGGTAAGCTCAGTAAAGGGGTTTCGCACTAGGAATGGGGCCAGCTGGCCCCTGACCTAAGAAAACCCAGAAGGAAGACTCGGTCCCTCCTCTAGTCCCCGACTGCCAGCCCTACTGGACTCGGCGACCGTGCCTCCTCCACGCTCCCAGACTCCGGGTTTTCTCCGCTCCCAGATCGGCGGCCCCAAGAAACAGACAGCGGGACCTGCCAATGGAAGGGCGCAAAGCGTCAACTTTGTGTTCGCCCGCCACTCTCAGCCAGTGCGCGCTCGTTTCTCCGGAGTCCCGCCTTCCGTGTCGGGCGCCCCCTTCTGGCAGCACAGGGACGAACCCTATCTGTCGCCATGTTGTGTGTGGCACAGTTGTTTTTCTGGAGCGTATTTACACCTCTTACAATCTTTCCTCCCACACAGCTGGTTTCTTTATTCGACAGCCAAGCGCAGTGGCGATAAGGGGGGTGTAGCCTACGGTTTTCCGAGCGTCTGCGTGGGTTGGATCGACAGGTCACGCCACGCTCGCGGAGTCCGACGCCATCTTGAGTGTGGCGGCTTGATGGTTCCCTTCTCGGGGCTCCGCGTGGTCCCCTAAATGGCGCCCCAAACTTCAAGGAGCCCCCGAGGACTAGCCCAAACGGTCTAAGGGACTATTATTGCCCTCCAATAACCCCTCATAGTTCACGTGCCGCTCGCAGCCCCTCAAGTGGGAGACGGGTGGACTAGATGGCGGGGCTCTGGAAGGAGGCTGAGGCTGTCGCGACGGCAGTGGCCGCTCAGGGCAGGCACTCTCCAGAATCCTGGAGGGCGATGCCCGTGCGCTGTCCTGCTCGAGGGCAGCAGCCGGCGCAGGTCCTCCAGGCCCCCGGATGTATGAAACACCGAGTGCGTGTGCTTGGCACGGAGCCCGCTAGTCGGCTGGTTTAGGGGGCGCACGCGGAGGGTGATGGTGGGCAAAGGGGGTGACATCCTTAAAGACTCGGGGCTCCGAGGGCTGGGCAGAGGGGGTGAACAAGGTAGAGACGGGGCAGCCCGGGTGCGCGGACCTCGATCTCGCGCCCCCATTGCCCACTTGCGCCGGGGCAGTTCTTGGTCGAAGGTGCCTAGGCGCGTGGGGCAGGCGTCTACGCGGGAACTGCGCAGGGCACCGCCCGGGGCGAGCGCAGCCCAGCACCCCGTCTTCCCCTCCCCCTCACTGGCAGCCGTCGGGAGCGCTGGCCGCTACCTCCTCTTCCCTCCCCCTCCTTACGCGGGAGGGGCGGAGGGGGGCTGGGCGGGCAGCTTTGCCGCGCTTAGGCTTTTTGCGTCAGCAGCCCCAGCAAA